GATAGCATTATGCTCCTTCCTTAGTCTTCTTATTCAAAGCTTAAACCATATCGATATTATTAATAATTTGAAATGTTAGGAAACATTGAGAATAGTGTTAGTATGCTAATTGTAAAAAGATATTATAGTTATGACAAAATATAATTTATAAGTTCAAACACGTTATAATGCATAATATACCTACACCTATATAATAAATAATTTGTTTATTTAATATGACCCCTCATTATAAATAGACTATTTCATGCTACTTAAAGCGTATAATAGTTTTTAAGATTAACATTTTAAGAAAAAAATATATTTTTTTTATAAAAATTGTTGCTTCGTCTAAAATGGTTAATCCCGTTATAATTTTCCAAATTAACCTACCGTTTTAGAGAAAAATAAAAAATATGTAAATATGGTTGAATTTTTCCAACCATAAATCCGATATGATGTCCAAAAAATTAAAACGCCTTTCTAGGGTAATATAATTTCATTTTTATTTTCTGTCCTCCTTTAACATTTGAAATCAACAAACAATATGACGTTAATCAAAATTAATAGTAACCTAACTATCTATCAAAGAATGAAAACGAAAATATATTACTATTTCTATATATTATAGTGATATGGTGAGTATAAAATAACAATAGAATAAAAAAATATTTTCAGGGTGGTATATTTCGACCCCAGGAACATGTCTATGAGGTTTTTTTTCGCAAAAAAGATGTTGAAAATCGTGCATTTTCTTTTAAATGTCCCTGTATATTTTTCGAAAAGTTTTTGGAACTGCCTGTTCAGCGCAAATTTCCCCCACGATATAATTTCTTAATCTCTGATATTGCCATAGTTACGGCTTTACTCTATAGTCACGGCCTATGGTCACGGCTTCTATATATCCTTGGGTCACGGCCACAAAATAGAAATCAACCAGAACGCCGACTCAGGGTGCAGCCACACTATCCTAAAAACGGCGTATCGGCGTAACGGGCGTAATGACCTTGAATGGATTTCCAGTAATTCTATTGGCTGAAACATTCATCTGTCAGAAATTTTATCTGTCAAATTCATCTGTCAAAAATTTCAGCCAATAGAATTACTGGAAATCGATTCAAGGTCGTTACGCCGTTACGCCGATACGCCGTTTTTAGGATAGTGTGGCTGCACCCTAAGGTTTTGATGATGTTTTGTAGGGAATGACCTGGAATGACAGAATGACAGTGACAAAACAACAAATAAATAAGTAGTATAAGTAGAAATAAATTTTATAAAATGGGGTTTTTAACTGTTTTAAAAAAGATGAAGCAAAAAGAAAAGGAGATGAGGATTTTAATTTTGTATCCTTTGTTTTGAAATTTATCTAATTTAGTATCTTAAGTCATTTCAATATTTTCCTTAAAATATTTATAGAGGTTTAGACAATGCTGGGAAAACAACTATTTTAAAACGATTTAATGGGGAACCTATTGATACCATTTCACCAACATTGGGATTTAATATAAAAACACTAGAACATAGAGGGTGAGTCATTTATAAGTTACTTTTGTAATTAATTTATAACAATCGAAATCGATGGAATATACATACAATTACAATAAAATTATTATTTTAATATTACTTTCTATAAGCTGAAGACATTAATGAACTATAATTTTAGCTTTAAATTAAACATGTGGGATGTTGGTGGGCAAAAATCATTGAGATCTTATTGGAGAAATTATTTTGAATGCACAGATGGACTGATTTGGGTTGTAGATAGCGCAGATAAGAGAAGATTAGAGGATTGTATGAAAGAACTTCATGCTCTATTATTAGAAGAAGTACTTCTTTGTGGATATGTTGTGGGATACCTTTAACATTTATCCATATTTTTAGAGATTGGCAGGCGCAACATTACTTATATTTGCAAATAAACAAGACTTGCCAGGAGCTTATAACATAGATCAATTAAAAGAGGTAAACCTTCGTTTTTTATTTGTGAATTAGGGATATGTATTTTGTTTTATATTTTGTAACATCTAGTCATTGGAGTTGGACAAAATCAAGACACACCATTGGAAAATTATTTCATGTAGTGCTGTAACAGGAGAAAATTTACTGGAAGGAATAGACTGGCTTATAAATGATATTGCTGCTAGAATTTTTACATTAGATTAAAAATATATTAATATATCTCTCCATTAATATTTTGTGCCTAAAGTATATACTAATTCTGTGGTACCATCTAAATTAAACTATTCTAAAAGATTTTTTGTATTAAAACATATTTTTTTTATTCTTATATTTTATTTAGTTGTACATATATTATAAAAATATTTATTAAAATAATTAACATTTTACTACATTATTTTTTTAAATGTATTTTACAGTATGGTTAATGGCTGTCCATGAATTGTATTTCAGACAAAACTAAAATATTATTGGGCAATGGTTTAGGTTGTGGTGATAGCAAAGTCAGAGTTTGCCTTTCTGTATCTATACTTGACCTAAAATGGTTTTAGAGATGATTATAATCAAATGGGAATTTGCTGGAAATAATTTATCAGAGTAGTTTAACTTACACACAGACAAAACCAGCTACATGCGACAATATAACATTGTCATCTTCCTTTTCTGCAAAACTTACAGCTAAAATATGATGTAAAATTCCTGGATTAGGTGTTAGGGCTACCAGTTTTGTAAGATGGTCCTCTGGCTTCATACCTATAAGATATTTTTTTGAAATAACAATTATAAAATAATAGGATTATCTTACCATGCGGTAAACAAGAGTCTGGTAACGGAGGTGCCCCAATTTTAAACAATTTAATTTCAGACCATTTCACATCAAAAGAATGTGGGTATAGTTGTTTTTTAGTAGTCCCATAAAAATATTCTCTTATTCTTTGATCTCTGATCTCTGATCGGGCATGTTGTGATCGTTCTACAACCTAAAATTACATTAAGTGTTTATTTAGAAATAAATAAATAATGTTATTCGTTATATTACTCCACCACTCTTTTGCAAAAATACAATTTTAACATAGTTAGGCATATCCCTAACTAGTTCATTGTAAAGTCTCTCTTGATCCAACACCAAAATAACATCAACCTCAAATGATTTTCCTGTGTGTAATAATTGTTTATATCCTTCCCCTTTGACCCACCCACATGTATTGATTATAACTCCTGAATGCCTAGCTTTATATAAAAATAAAATAAAAAAAATTGCCCATATTTTAGAAGAAATTACTTACTTTTTTTATTAACTTCTAATCTCTCTTTAACTATCACTGCAAGTTGATCTATTATCATTTTGTATAGTTTGGAATTATGTTCAGGACTTTTATGACCAAAATTGAAGACTAAAGGGGCCTCTTGTGAAAAACCTTCATCAATTGAAGATGGCCTTTCTACTACTAAAGCACCTAAAATTTTTATTGATATTGCAATTTTTAAAATTAACCTAAGTAATTGTAACAACATACCTAAAGTACCAGGAATTGATATTGTACTTTGACCAACATCTATATCAACATATATTGGCCTCCTACCCATTCTAATTGCATAGTTCAACAATATTTTACATAGTGTTGATTTGCCAACGTCTGTTGGCCCCATTATCATCGTAATGGGTCCCCTTTTATTTTCTTTCTCACTCTCTGAACGCATTATCTCTAGTGCTGCATGGCAATTTGAATATAAAACCATAGGCGTTTCCTTTGCTGTATATATAACATCTGTTTTGCCTTTAACTTCAATGGTACACCCTTGCCAAGTATATACTGCTACTTTAGCGCCTGCAGTAAATTCGTAGGTTTTTCCTTTGACTATTTCAGTACCGAATATTTCTGCTAGGCCATTCTTTAAAGTAAGGTATACTTTTTCGGCTTTGGCTTCCACTTCAAATCGTAGCTCGTTGTCAGGTTCTAATTTATATTCTTGTAGTAAAGATTTTTTGTCCTCGGTCATTTTGGTATAAAAACACTATCACTAACAACTATTATACCAAGAAAAATCTATTAACCATAGACCAAGAGCAGACAAGGGATATAATAAACAAACCTTGAAACAAAAAAAACAAATTTAAATAAATTAATTGTTTAAGGTTATAATGTTCAAATATTTATAGTTTAATGGCCACAGCTGCCAGGGCTATCCTAGTAGTAGTAATATATCGGTTTGATAGCCACAGCTGCCAGGGCTATCCGGCCGGTTTTGTAGAATTATCTACCTACGGTTGAGCGTTTATATAAATGATGATAGACGAGAATCATTATAAAGCGAGATTAATTTTAAAATGTTTATTAAGTTAAAAAGCGAAAAGATGGCGATAAGTTAATTTTAAGTTAAGGTCTTCTTTATGATGCCAGGAATTGTAGGATACATTAAAATACGCAACCAACCGTCCAATCAGATGAAAGAGGTACGTACCCTATCGTTGGGTATTGTGCAATCACGTGATGCTGATGTCGTATGACGGTTAAATCTTTGGTTAGAATTTTTGTTGTTGTTTTTACAGTTTTTACTTTATTTTTCTATTTACGTCAGATTTATATTTTGTAATTGCCTATCAGACAATACGTATTTAGAAAAATAATAAGAATTAGGATCGTGTTTTTTTTTAAATCCTGGATATTAATTGGAACCCTTGATAACATTACTGCTTTTGATATAAAGTGCATTTTTGATTATTTACTTGGGCTAGGATATTAAAATATCGGTTGGATTGTACGACATAAATAGATGTAGGTATGATCTTTGGTATGATTATTTATATATATATATATATGTATGTATTTATAAAGCTTACTATCTGTTTTGCATTTTCAGTTTTTGATCAGACATTTCATTTTATTTGTGAAATGCCCACAAAAAAGCTTCCCATGATTCAACATCAGTGTGTTTGCTGCATAATGGATCATTCCTGCAGAATTTAGAGATCATTTGAAGACTACACAGAAAAAAACCAGATAATATGTTACATTTTCATAGAAATTGATAGCGAGACAATTTTATAGGCAAGTGTTAGCATTATTCGAGGCACCATCAAAGAAAGCAATAATAATATGCTTAGTCCCAGAGATATTACAGCTTAGTTATTTTGCCCTACAGGAGAAAAACCAGAGTAGTTCACTCGTAATTGCATTTTCTCGGCTCCAGTTAAAATGAACAAAGCTGGTTTTTCCTGTGGTCTTCATTTGAAATAACGTAAATAAATGTTTATACATATGTATGTGATGACTAAATTGGTGTTAAGGAAATAAAAATGTTTTTTGATATTAATATATACCTATATATGTATATTTATTTTGAAATAAATTACACTTTTAACAGTTTAATGGAGTTTTTAAAGCCAGTTATAATATTTATATTTTAAAAACTTGAAATCATGTGGATGTAATCACGCATTAAACCACAGACTAACTTATTATAAGTCAAAAAGTAGATTTTAGTGTTAACTTTATATAACTTGTAAGTAAAATAATAAATAAAACAAATATGAAAAAACCAACAATTCTAATGTATATATTAAAATACAGTACAATAATAGGTATCTGATACCCTCATTTAACGTAGAATAATATTCTACCCAACTCAATACTATGTCCAACATGAGTTTCAAATATATCGGGCCCTAATCGTTCTTGAAAATAATATTTTTTTACATTGTTTTACCATATTCTAAACTATTTAATATTTCAGTCACTTAAAAAGTTAATTTGTATTGAATAATTGTCTACCATTAAAGCAAATTTGGACTAGTATTTTTAATGGGCATATTCTGTGTATGGATAGATATAGGTACTTCCTCCAGATTTTGGGTTCAACCAATTTATTCTTAAAACCTGAAACATCTACGTATAAAAAATAGACAGGTTACTAATTATAATAAAATTTACCCTTAGAATTATACTTCTTTAACAAATAATTTCCATTGGTATACTTTTCCATGACAAATAATCAACTTCCTAACATTTTTTAATTGATGTAATACTTCCTCATGATGCGAAAAGAAAATCTTTTCTTTAGCACACAAAGGACAAACGATATGTTGGCTTACTTTCAGATTAGTTACTTTTCCATAGATATCCTCATGTCAATTCAAAGACGATGAACATGAAAATGATCATCACATGAAACATCACAAACTAAAAACCTAATAAACAAGTTTATATCGAATATAGAAATAAATTTAGTGTTCTTACCTATTGTGGTCCAAATCCACGTTAATAGATAATTAATTTTTTGGATTTTTATCTTTTATTTTTAAATATATCTTTCGAACTACTGGTTTTAGTAATTATTAAATTAAACGAACTAAAAAGTCAAAAATAATAAACAATTCTCGGGAGAACCACATCTGTCCTAATGAGCATCTGTCCGGGATGGCTTCAGTCACCCGAAAGTGCAGTCCACAGCATAAAATAATTAACTAGAAAGAAGTGTCAACTCTGTGTTAAATCGTGGAAACACGATACGCCACCGAAAGCCTTCGTTGTCGTCTGGAGAACTAACTTTCCAATTGACAGGTTGACATGATAAGGACATGATGGCTTAATTTTCATTTCCGTTTCCGGTTATTCAATGGCGGGCCCTCTTTCAGTTCAAATGTATTTTGTATTTTTTCTTTTCATAAATAAAACCAAAAAATAATTTATTTACATATATTTATTTGAAATATGGAACAACGTGACTAAATAAATATAAAAATATAGACGATTGTATTGTTTCAATACCAATTAGTTAATTATATGCACTTTTAACGTAAATTAGTTAAGTTGATGATCACTTACAGTAATTTGTAAATAAACACACGCATTCGCAAACTTCAAGGACAGAAAACGGGCACAGGAATATGAAAACGGGAGCCTTATACAAAAACCTGAAAACAGAAAAACAATTTTTTTATACTAAAATTAACAATGTAAAAATATCAATAGGTATAAAATATAAATATACTGTTTAAAAAAAGCGTCCATTATTCCCAAAGAACCTGGCTTATAAATCAAAAAGATGCAAAAAGAGACTTTTAGTCGGATAACATAATCAGATTATCAGTCCGATTTATTGCATTATTGACAATAAATCGCACATACTGGAGATAACTAATGTTGGCTATAGTTAAAAATGATCTTACCTTGCTGTAAATTGTTTCCATTTTCAAAAAAATCGCCGATCAAAGAGATTATAACACCATTTTCTTGCATCTAAAAAATGTAAAAACAGTGTTTATTTACTACCTATTTTTCATATACATGGGACATACATACTGCATAAACGTCATTTTCTCCAGGATTCTTCATGTAATACATATTTTATATACTTTATTACCTTTATATTTATAAATTTCAGCCGAAATATTAAACTGAACTTCCAAAACGAAACTAAACGGAATGAATTAAAATGGCGTCGAATATTTTCGAATTTGTTCTAGAACAAATCTGAAGTTGTCTCTGAAACTGAAATCTGTCAATTCTAAACATTCTAAACTGTGAAGTTAGACAATAGTTAGACAAAAACAATGCTGTCCTTGTCTAGGCGGCCATACTTGTCGTGAGGAGAATGACAGGAATGACACTAATGACTGTTTCCAATTTTCCCATTTCACTGTCACCCCCCTGGTCCACAGTGCAGTCGCCCGACTCCCCAGTTGACCCGAAAGTGTAGTCGTCGAATTTGTAACTGACCCGACTGACCCGTTCTCGGTGGACTTCGGCGCTAGGGATACGTAAAGAGAATTTTATCGGAATAGATTGGGAACGTATACGTGAGAAAAGTTTTTTATTCGTAATACTAGCTGGTTGTGCGATTTCATTTCAAGTTGGTTATGTTATTGGTTTGGTCTGGTCAGACTGGTTAGTCCATTTTGTTAGATCATAATAAATTTTATCTATGTATTTATATGAGCGAAATACCACTCACTCTGACTAGCTACGAAATCTCCGAAACTATACGTCCGATTGACTTGAAAATTTGCGTAAATTAATACATTATTGATGTTGTGATCAATTAACTTTATTTCTTATTTGAATATAGCTTGCAGGCAGGGTTCGGAAAACTACATGTTACTTTTAAAAACTACATAAACTACATTACATGTAGTTAATGTAGTTTATGTAGAGGGTGTAGTTTATGTAACCTATGTATGTAACTTTCAAATGTCAAAGGTTTGAGGTGAGGTTATAATAAGTTGAAGCTTTAAAAACACATAATGTATTTAAAAAACAGGAGAAATATGGCTTTAAATATAATATTTACATCATATTATCTCTATTACACCTCATACAAAGGAAAATTATTCATAATATCAATACATAGTTTATTAACGTAGTTTTCATGTAGTTAATGAACGGGAAAAGACGTAGTTTTTGAAGAAAAACTACACGTAGTTAATCAGGTAAACTACGTCTTAATTAACTACTTCCGAACCCTGCTTGCAGGTATACTTGTATATGAATTATTATGCAACTTTTATTACTTTGACAAAAATAGGAAAATTATATATAATTAAAAATTATATAAAATTATATACTATTAAAAATTAATGGAAAGGCACCAATCAATCTTTACCTACTTTAAGTTAGGTATTTCGTTCAATAATATCCAGTATTTTTAAAATTAAATATTTGAAAAAAAAACGTTTCCGGACATACAACAATGATAAAAATTGGTGACGAATCACCTCCTGAAGGTGAAGGTTGGTTACATACCATTGCGATAAAAAAAAGTAGTACAACAAAATATGATTTAATCTGCTGGTCTATAATAAAATATTAAAAATTGCCCATTTTTAAAAGATAGGTAAATTTTTTATACTTTTATCTCGCCACGTATACCTACCAATTATTGCCAAATTCATGGTAACGCCTAAAAATTTAGGTGGCATAATTGTATTGTTTTCATAGTGACGACGATATCCTTATAGACCAGAAGTTCTATCTGGGACTATTAATTCTTGTACTACTTTTTTTTTATCGCAGTGGTATTTAACCCTCAACTGGGCGTGGTGGGGTCCGGCGGACCACAAGCACTATTTAAACCTCTGTAAAATGTTTACGTTTAAGAATTAGGCCTCGCCGCGCGCCATTTACCTTTAAGTTAAGTTTTAAGGGTACAAATATGCAACTGTTAAAGGCGCACTTGATTTTATCAAGTATTGTTCCTACCAGCGGGGGCTAAAGTTTCATTGGGGTCTGTGTGGCACCACCACGACAAGAATGTTTCATTATTATAGGATGGTGGGTAGTCTAAAAAGTGTGCCTCACTGGGACGCTAATGTTGGGGAAGTATTAATTGAGTGGTTTGATGAACTTAAAGAGGTTTAAGTGTGATGAATACCATCGAGACATTGATTTTTCTCCGAAGCGAGTAACCATAACTCCGAGGGCTTTTTTAAAAATGAAAAATAATTTTAAAAAACACATTTTTTGAATAAAACGTTTACATGATCTCTATCAATAAATGTCATAGTTACTCTATCAATAAATGTCATAGACTTGGTTATCAAACCGTGTTTCCGTAAATTACTGAAATACCTACAAATTTTCTAAAAAAATATAAAAACACATTTTTTGAAGACAACAAAATAATATTAACTAAACAAAACTAGAATACGTCATTTTTGCAGTATCGCAAGCAAATAAAAATTAATACGTAGCCAAGAGTCATAATTCAGAATTTCTCTGGGGGGTGTGCCCAGCAGTTCCTGGGGGGGGCACCCCCGGGCCCCCTGTAGTTACGCCAATGTTAACACCCGGTATATTGAAGTTCTTCGGCATCATAGCCTTCTAAATATAGTTTGTGATCGAATTTTCAAAAATGTTAAGTAATTTTCGAAGTAAGTTCGTGTAGTATTAAAAATAGAAATAATGGGACAAAGGAAAAAAACACAAATAATAAAATAAATAATACCATTATCCTTTATTATTACACAATCCTAATGGACATAATAAATACGAAGATTTTTAGGATTTCTTAAAAAAAAATAGGTTTTGGTTGACCCACATCATGTTTAAACATGTTTCCAAAATGAAAGCTCCATCTTGCCTAATAAGAGGAAAAAACTTGCTCCCATTCAAATAAAAAAAGGTTACGGACCCTTGTAGAAACTCTGTTCTACAACAACTTTTAATACTCTACAATGCTCTAATTCGGACATCTCTGGAGTGTTGCTCTCACGTGTGGAGCTCCGCCCCAAGCAAAAAATAAGTGTATTTACTTTTAACCAGATGGATAGAAGTTCCACGTTAAGTAAAAAAACGATGTCGTGTGCCAAGGGTTAAAGTGAGGGGCAACTAAAAAGAAAAAATGTAAAATAAAATTTTAAATTCTAATTTAACAAAAAACATTCAATATCTACTAATAGTGATGTATCATTATTTGCATTCAAAAAATTTATATGTATATTTTGCAAGTAACAATGTTCAAAAAATTATATTTGCAAATAATACAATATCATAGAAAAAAAAGGTGTCAGCGATGGCTATGAAATGAAGATCGCTGTCATTTTATATATTAGTTTATTAATTGCAGTAAACATTATGTGGTGTGCGGTGTGGATATTTTATATGTAATTTTTTGGATTATATTCGACACTATTTTTTTGATATGACCCAACACTGATGAAGGGTATAATGTTAGATGAAACGTTTTTTTTAAACCAAATAAAAATAATGAAAAACCAAATGAAAAAATCAGCGTTTTTCCCGAACTTAAATCCCAAGAAAATCAAACTTCGTTCAGTTACGTGTGCAGTGTTTACTCTTTTACTCTTCAATCTTAATGTAAACTGTAATTGATTCTAATATTAGTAAATATTAATTTAATTAGATGTTATTCGTTACTAATAAATTGAGTGTTGTTAACAAAAACTTCTTAAATATAGATTTTTTATTTTCTGCATAAAATAGTTTTCCTTAAAATTTTTTTTTATTTAAACAAATATGTAAACATGTTCCATCCTCAAGAAGTACTACCCATACCTCCAAAGGCTTGTCTCTCACTCTTTGAGAATGGCGAACCTGGAACAAAAGAAAAACAATCCTTAATATACCAGTTATATATTTTTTTGTGCCATTAATAACTTTAAATTAATAACAAAGTTTGTTGTTTTATGTTTAACCAAACTTATACTATAAGAAATGAAAGTCTTCTTACCTTAGTGAGAATAACAAATGCTTCAGAAGTCATCTGCTTTGCATATATTTGCAGAACAGCCCCAGCCTCATACATTTTAAAGGCTTGCAAACTTTTGTAGGCCCTTAGTTGTTGTCGGGTGTATAAACGAGATACTCAGTTATATCAATTATTGTAACATTGGGCAAGTTAACAACAGGAAAACAGTTCATTTGGTAGCAGTGAATATGGGTCGATATCGCCGATCCCTTTAAGTTTTTAATCAT